CTCACCCCATACACAAAGATCAATTAGAGGTGGATCAGAGACCAGGGAGTAAAGCCCAAGACCATAACGTTCATAAGAGACAAACAAGGATCAAGCTTACAAGTTCTAGTCTACGGTATAAAGAGACTGCCAAATACAACTAGAAATGCACAATCTAAAGAGGATACAATTGATGCATGGGACCTTCGAAAAATTATAAATCCATGTGGGCATCAAAAACTTTTGCTAACAGTGTGAAAAGAAAACCTACAGACTGGGAACAGACATTTGGGAATACTATCTCAGACAACAGTCTTTTTTTTTTTTTTTTCTTACAGAGGTTTTGGATTTCCATTCATTCACTGCCTCAATTTTCTCCCTGTCCACCCCTCCCCACCAGCTCGCTTCCCCCTCCGAAGAGAGAAAAAAAAATTCCTTCATTAGTATACAATTCCCACATCCCTTCCCCCCACTCCCCACCCCGAGTACACTTCTCTATGCAACCTTAATTCTGGATTCCTGTGCTAACCATAATACTCAATCATATATCACTTCAGTCTTAAAACAAATGTTTACAGAATACTCCTGGGCCTCCACAAGAAAAAGACTGATAACCCAATTACAATATGGGCAAAAGACATGATATTTTCACAGGGGAAGATAATGGAATGGCAAACAGACACATGAAGAAATGTTTCAAATCACTTGCAATAAGAGAGATGCAAATCAAAAACAAAGAAGATACAATCTCCCTTCAGTAACAGTGGCAAAGTTTAATAGGGCAGCAAGTAATAAATGTTGGAGAGGATGTGGCAAGATTGGAACTCTTCTACATTGTTGGTGGAATTGTAAAATGGTACAATCATTCTGGAAGGTAGTTTGGCACTTCCTCCAAAAGCTGAACGCAGAAATTCCACATGACCCAACTATTCCACTATCTGGAATATAACCTGAGAATATGAGAACTGAGGCACAAACTGAGATTTGTACATCAATGTTTATAGCAGCATTATTCACCATTGCAAGAACATGGAAATAGCCCAAATGTCCAACCATAAACAAAAGGACTGAGAAATTATGGTACATTCATACAATGGGATACTATGCAGCATGCAGGAGCAATGATTTTGTAAATTATTACCTAATTTGGGAGAGACTGGAGAGCATTGTTATGCTAAGTGAACTAACTCAGTCCCACAAGGATAAATATTGTATAAAACCATTATTATAGGATCAGTATAAGGATCCAAGAGGGGTAGGAAAGGGTGGAAGCAGAGGGATGAGGATGTGCAGGGGAGGCTGAGATTAACCATGAGGTTGTACAATTTGATGAGTGGAAGGGTGAGGGAAATTCAATGAATCTGTTCTCTAAAACAATGTATTAGAATTTTGAAAATAATCTAGCGTAAAAATTAAAAAAAAAAGGAGTATGTCAGAGGTGCATAATTTTTCAGTCTATATGCAGATCATTCGGGAGGCTGCACTTTACAAGGAAGGATGTGGCATCAGGATTGGAGGAAGACTCATCAACAATCTGCATTATAAAGATGACACAACCTTGCTCACTGAAACTACTCAAACTGAGGAGGATCTTAAGTGTTGGATGCAGGTCTATAGCTTGAAGCCCAACATCAAGAAAACAAAGATTATCACCACTGGACCATGTAGCAGAACCTAGATAGATAGATAGATAGATAGATAGATAGATAGATAGATAGATAGATAGATAGACAGACAGACAGACAGACAGACAGAAAAGTGACTGAGGCTGTTAACAATTTTAGCTTGCTCAGGTCCACAATCAATATTCTTGGCACTAGCAATCAGGAATCAAAAGATAAATTACAATAAGGAAATAAGTTGTCAAGGACCTCTCCAAAGTCCTAAAGAGCAATGATGTCAGTCTAGAGATTAAAGTGCACGTGATTTAGACCATGGTCTTTGCAATACTTGCTATGCAGCAAAGAGACTATTAAGGATGGCAGATGCCTTTGAGTTGTGCTGCTGGACAAGAACACTGAATATATATTAAGAAACAAATAAGTCTGCCTTCAAGAGGGTAAAACCAACCTGTTCATTGGAGGCAAGGATTTTGAAGCTCCGTCTCATATCCTTTAGGCACATGGCCAGGCGGACCAGTCCTGGAGTATATCATGCTTGGAAGGGTGGAGGGACAGCACAAGAAAGGAAGATGCTGGGTGAGATGGGTTGACACAGTAACTGGGGTAATGGAGTTAGGTGTGTTGGAGTCAGTGAGACTCGCACAAGATAGGGCAGGGATGTGAGCTTTGTACATAGGGTCGCTATGAGTTTCGGGATGGCACATAACAACACAACAATGGTGCAATAGTCAAGCTGCTAAAGGAAACACGGACAGACTCAAGCAGCTGCTCCTGGCAGAAAGTTGTAGTGGTAGCTTCCACAAAGACTCCAGCCACAGAAACCCTAT